GATTATTTTATTTCTTACGTTTTTTAGTAATAACCTAATGTGGTCAGCAACAAGATCATTTTTTGCAATTATTAAGTTTATTGAATGTCACGATGTTTTATTACCATGATATTCAATTATTTTTTGTGAAATTACTTCACTAATTTGTTACCATTATTATAACAAAGATTATATAACAGCTACCATCATCGCTGACTAGAGACGCCGGTTTAAAAATTTTAACTTTTAAGTTAATTGAATGTCACCATGTTTTACTACCACGATATTCAATTATTTTCTGTAGCTATAAAGGTGAGGTTTATTTCTTCACTCAGTGAAGAAATAAACCTCAATAAATATGAGTGAATTTCTCACAGATGGCGCTACGGCAAAAAGTCGTCAAAAACTAAAAACAAACATCTGCAACAAACACATAGAAAAATTCATAAGGTCTGCTGGTTCGTTCCGTGACTTAATTGGCAGTGCATCTGCCACGGATTGCCTGAGAGTGCTGATTCGAATCCAGTCGGATCGAATGAATTTTTCTTAGTGTTCCGATCTTTGTTATAATTATTATAACAAGACATTGTTAAAAACCTTTATTCCCCTTCAGTTACAGAACACTTACCTTATGTACATTTTAATGGATAACAAAATATATTTCTGCAGAACTACAAACAATTGTATTGTGTTAAAGATGCTCCATTTTCCGTAAATCATTAACCACGTAGAAAGTCAATACAAATTCGAAAAACTTCCAACTGTTATACATCCCATTTGAAGATCATAGGCCTCTTCTAATAAGCAGTTTTAGGTCCTGTACTCCGTCCAACCATTTATAAAACTTTTGACATATGCATGCCTCCGAATTTCCGTAATTATTGACATACAACTTTCTGACAACTATAGACAAAAAAGGGCAATACTTCCTGGACTCTTATATTTATTCATTTTGGTGAAGCGACGTGCTCCGATATTTATCGAGCCAACGGATTATGTAACGAAGATTATTCAAGTAAATTTTTTTTACCTGTCTAATAAATTATAACGTGATTAAATAAATTATAATGATTTTTATTATAATGAATCGTCGGATTCTTCTCCATATGAACGAGAATCATCACTTGAATCCTCATTAACATTAATTATTAATTCTTGGGTATAAAAATTGTCAAACCAACATCAGACAATATCTTCTTTTTTGAACCTGCTCCCATTCACGATTTAAACTTCTTCATAAATAAAATTTATTGTTATAAAAAATCGAATAGGAAACGCATTAGGACATCACTAATTGATTAGAATTCGAGCTGTCAAAAGTTAAATAAACGGTTGGAAGGAGTATAATCTACAATGCTTCCCACGTCTTCCAAAAGCTGATTGTACTCTACCAACTTCTCAGGAGTCCCTTACTTTTCCATTAAAACGTTTATCCACCACTGTGCATAGGCCTTTCCGAATTATTTATAATTTGAAAGCAATTTAATGTATGGGTGAAACACTTTTTACGACACCATCTTAAAAATAGCTAAAATCTCTTTTTTGTCTCCGGACACTGATTTCCTCTAAAGACCACAATATAATAAGACAAGGAATGGAACTCCATACAAACGTAGCAGCGTGTCTTGTATGTGTGCACTCGCACCGTGTACGGATGTACACATTCGCATAATCAAATCAGTAATTTGAATAGCAATAGACGGAGCTCCTTGTGAAAGAGTTCGTTCAGGGAAGTACTGCCACCTATTTTTGCCGGCAAGCAGTAACGTGAGCATTACTGTGATTCGGTTTTGAAGGGTAAGGGTGCTGGTAAAATTACAGGCACATGGGACTTGTCAACTTATGTCTGAGGGTGACAGGCGCAGTGTCCCTCAGACTAAAATTTAAAGTTCTGAGTGGCACTGAAACTGCTATGTACAGTCGCTTAACACCAGGCGCACGACGTTTTTGTCTTGGTATCATAAAAGAAATCTCGCGTTAGCATATTAATTTCTCTCGGTGTTTAAAAACGACATCAAATAGTAGGCGTGTTTAAACAATAGTGCCTCAAATTGTTCAGAATTTAATTTATATTTCATGATCATACTCCCATAATCAAGATGCCAATCCGCGATGCAGATATAGAAGTAGTTAAATACCTACTGCATTCAACAAAGATTATTTCAATATAGCACGAGAAAGTTACCTTAATTTTTTAAAATAAGGTTCACAAGGTACAACTAAATAATAATGTGACAACCCTACGTGTAGGCATTGATGGGAATAAGCGGGAGTTGCACTACTTGTCTTATTACATGTGGTTTAGGTCACAGGTTACCACCCTGGCCCAATGTGATTGCAATTCACATGTCAACATAGAGTTTTATACTGTGTAGTTTGTACTGATAACAAGCCAGCTTAGCATGAGCACAAAAACCAAATTAATTCTCCAAACAAACTTCTTTCCAACAAAAGAAGAATGATCAAAATTGGTTCATTAATCGGCCGGAGTTGTCGCGTAACATACATACAAAGAAAACTCTAATTGATAACCTCCTCTTTTTTTAAAGTCGGTTAAAAATTACGTGACGCGAGTCACATCCACACACTAAAATTATAGCAGTATTTTTTTTCTATTTCATCCATTTAAGTCTATCTGTGTTAATGCTAAACTTGCCTGAAACGCGGCTTTCTCTTACTACTACAACATTAATGATGAGAAAAATCCTGGTCACGGCACCACTTGGAGTCTTCACTATGGGGATTGCAACTAAGAAAGAGCGTTGCGTATATTTTACCGTATCTCAATTAACGTAATATTACGTAAATTGCCCAATTGCTGCGGCTTCCGAAGGGTGAGTTCCACACATTGGAAGATCCATATGCAATTATAATTTTGTAGTGTGGTAATTGTCAATCAATATTACATAGGGCGCACTATAAGTTTCCGGAACTGGCAACTTACATAAACAATATTTAAAAAGTAATTGCAACATTTGAAAATGGAAATCTTTGGCTGTACAATACAGTTTGTTTCATTTGACTGTCACTTGTGTTTACATTGTGGCGTCATTTTAGAAATATGGTTGTCTACGTCACCATGGATTGAACTCGTGAAAATATTCGTAGAAGGACATAGTAACAGGTGACGAAACATGGATTTATAGTTACGATCCCTAAACAAAGCAGCAATCGAGCGTATTGGTCTTTCGAAATGAGCCGAAACCAACCAAAGTGGCGCGTGTGACTTTTATTTATTTCCAAAAATTAAAAACCAGCTACGCGGTCAACGATTTTCATGACCTGAAGAGGCTGTAGAAGAGTATGAAAAATAAGTTTCAGAGATTGTCACGGAGGAGTGGCATAAATGTTTTCAAAATTGGTTGTGCATTAACGCTAACGGAGAATATTTTGAAAAACAATAAATTCATTTCTGACCATTTATAGTATTTTTTTCTTATTCATTCCGGAAACTTATAGTGCGCCCCACGTATATACTGTCAAATTTGACAACATAACAAAAATTTTAAATCAAAAATAATGTTAACTTACATTGCACGACGACACTGGCGAATTTGTCTCTAATATTGGATTTCGTTTTGTGGAACTCCTCATCTAATGACATTTTCTCGTTGCACAGTCGTCGAACATGATTATTGCTTGTTTGGATTAACGAGTAAAAAACATTGGCGTTCTTTTTGTTGCATTCACCGCGTTCCAACCAAGCTGCCAAGGTCTGAAAATGAAAACGTAATTGTAAAATTTTTTGAGAAGAACAAAGAAAATGCTGGCAAGTTAGGTTTTGTCCCTATGTTGAGGAAACTGCGAAAAGAAATTCCAGTCAATAAATTTTTATTTTTTAATTCATTTATAGTACGATATACATACGAATGGTGAAAATACGGCCGTATGAAAAATTTGCCTGATGCAATTTATTTTTATTTATTTATCCTTACAATGACGTTTTTACAAATAGAGATAGGATTCTCTCAAACTTCATAAAAGTATAATTTTTTTTACACTTGAACATATTTTTATTCAGACACCCAAGTGCAGTTTTCACTATAGTACTATATTGTATCTAACAAATATTTTTTATCTAATTTATGACATACTTTTAATACTACCTTTAATACATTTTAGGTGTGACGGAAGACATTTAAATAACGTTGGAATTAAATAGTCCTTTGTCCTTTTACCATATCGACTGTGAAGTGGCAATCAGTACTATCTAAATTTTGACAACTTTATAGGAAGTTGTCAAATTAGTTGCCAGTTCACAGCTTAGACTATAATTTTTTTCCATCCTCTATGGTTCACGTCGATATGCATTATTTGTTTTAAAAGTATCACAGCTGCCCACCGCTGCTAGTCTTGTTGGATAATTACGAATTTTGGTAGCAGTAGAACCTTACCTATTTCTGCCGCCAAGCGTTAATGTGAACATTACTGTGATCCGGTTTTGACAGGCTGGGAAGAATGCTGGTGAAATTAAAGGCACGTGGGATTTGTCAACTTATGTCTCACGGTGATGGGCGCAGTTGCAGTGCCCCTCAAACGCCCACCACCACAAAAAAACAATAATTGAAAACGGAACACAAAAAATGACTAGGAAAAAAAATGTAATAGATAATTCCGGTTCTCTTTTTCAAATGCGGCCGTGCCACCTGGACATTATCTACATCCCCATTTGCTTCCGACGCCTCTACCTAGGACTCTTCAGCGGCCACTAGGGTGCAGTAGGGATCACTTTGGGAAACTATGCTCTAAGTGGCATTGCAACTGGTAGGCGTGTCGCTTACCACCACGCTAAGACTTGTTCGTCCCATCACTTGATGTCACAAAAAAAAACGACTGTTAGTCAAGTGAGAGAATGAGTGTGTTGTTGTTAAAAAAAAGAGAATTAAATATATCGTATGTTTCATTCGCTTACAGGAGCAGCGTCGACGAACAGTTCGTCGCTCTTGATCTTCTCAGTGACAGCGCTGAGCGCCAAAGGGGAGCAGGGCTGGACGCGGGGAGGCGTAATGTCGCGGCGATTTTTGTCTCTTTCAAACTCGTTTTGGTCGTCACGGTTCTGGAAAATATTTTCACCTATAAAAATGTTGAAATGAAAACACCACACTTGCACTCAGTGGCGTAGCGTCGACTCCTGCCACCCGGGGCCCACCTCTATTTTCACGATTACAAGAGAAGTTCGTTCGGCGTGATTGTGTTTTATGTTCGCCTGCCTTCGCACCAGGATATCGTTTTCTCAAGTAGTGGAATTTATTTTCTAATTTTAAGTAAAAAGAAAATACTTTGACAATTAGGGCTCGGCGCGCCCACCGCTGCCAGCACTGCTGTGCCGCCCGGGGCATGGCCCCCTTTGCACCCCCACGCTACGCCACTGCTTGCACTATTCGTATGTTATTTCTCATAGCGAAGCTACATACTGGCCGTTATCAGTGGACATCAAAACAGTTGAATAAAATCATCCAGTTCAATAACACGAATGCAAATTGCAATCTACACTAGACCAAGTGAGTCAGGGAAGTAATCTAGAACCAGAGTTTATTATTACAACGATAAACGACCTACCAGAAGTTGTGAAAGAGCCCAATAGTTTAATTTTCGCTGACGACCTGAAGCTGTTCATGGCTATCCAAGGTAAGGAGCGATTTCAAAGAGACATAAACTGAGTAATAGATTGGATCCAAAGGAACAAGCGAAAGGCGGGACCTTGTTTTAGTTACGTTACATTTTTTAATTGATACGGGGCAAGCACTGTACTGAGGCAAGTACATGGGATCAGCACTGAGGTCCCAACTTTCCACAAAAAAAGAATCATCGAAATCGGTTCACAAATGTCGGAGTAATCGCGTAAAAAGCAGTCGAATTGAGAACCTCCTCCTTTTTTTTGAAGTCGATTAAAAATTATAAAGGTTAAACCATACAAACTTCAATAAAACTCTAATAGTTATGAAGCTTGGACGTTAGATAATTAATATAATATGTAATATAATATATATGTATTTTTATTTCAAGAACCAAGTTTACATAA